CATTCCTTGCCTGGTTGAAAAAGGCCACTCATTTCACCTCCCTGATTTAATCATAACAACGGAAGAAATCATTGTATTCACCCTCACGTCCTATCTTTGAAATTGTTACACTTAGACAAGGTCAGAAATATTCCGAAAAAATGGCGGTTTGGCTTTGCAGGGGGGCTTTTCGCCCCCTGACCCCCCTCCACTATCTTCGCCACTGCCAAGCAATGCTATCTATGGTATCGAGACAATAAATCAATAATAATACAATTCTGAAATCTTCTATTTAAGAGAAATTTTTGCCAGAAAAAGAAAGACAAAATGTGTAAGACAGTTTCAATTATACGTTTTTTATAAGAAAGTATTTTATAAGGAAGATGTGCTCTGTTCTTCAAAAAGCTACGAATGTTCAGGGCTGGATCTTTGTAACCTAAGAAACTTGAAAATTTAGGAAATTTTGGTGTAATGGTGAAATATTTCAAGAATACAATAATGTGCTGAACAGGAAATTCACAAGGTGTAAATAAGTGTCTGTATAGAAATTTTCTCCCTTCAGAACCTTCACTAAACAGAAATTTAGCATATTTATAGCATTTCATCTTCTCCATCACTGCGCATGCCTAGTAACGTAAAATATTCCAATTTTACGTTAAGAAAGTGTTAAGAAAGTTTTGAGGCTGAAATAAGGCAATACCTAAAAAACTCTGAGGGCTGGGCTGAAAAAAAACTTACTTTTAAAGAAATTGTATTCCGCGTGTTTCGGTTCCTTGTTACTACCTGTTATCGAAATCATTAATTCTTGGTTTTTTAATCCAGTTTAACAACAATAAAAGAAAGTCTAAACCACAAGATTTGCCAAAAGAAAGAAAATTGCAATTGTTAATTTCTTCCAATCAATTGCCAAACTACATACTCCAAAATGTTTCTAAGACTATTTAATTAATTGTTTTGCTGAAATTTTAAAGTAGCAAGGTTTGTTAATTGAAAAATCTGCACTGATTTCAAGTGATTTTAACACTACAGGAAACAAACCTTTTCTACTAATTTTTCATCCGAGACTAGACATATTCTTACCTCCTTTTATTTTCTTTCGGAACATCCAGCTTCGGTGTTCCTATCAAAAAACTGTATTTCAAAGTGATGTGTTTCTCATGTAGCGGCCCAAACATCATAAATTGAGAAAACGACAGCAATGTAGTGATGTGTAAAAAGTTTTCGATGCATGGAAGTATTAAAGGACTTTTTTTATACCGGTAAAACATTTGGAAGAAATGTGATATCTTTCTTTGGTTTTTAGAATCCTGATCATGGGCCTCTACCCTAAACAGAGGCAGCCCAACACCACTACACCATTCAAGCCAATTTACATAGAGGCCAGACGGATGCGCAAATCTTAGTCTGAAGGCAAAGCGATGTTAAGATATCTTGCTACCTCAGCCCCAACTGTGTACATATTAAAAACCTCGTGCGAATCCCAGTGGTTTCTTCTCGTGAGCGAACAACCCTTACATATTATATCTTCATTGTTCCGTGTAATCTCTTCAAATAGCCGAAAGGAGGCTCGATTTTAAAGTAAACAGTCAAACTAGAAGTTGAAGTTTTGTAAGGTCTTTTCACAAATTTTTTATTGATCTTATGCATACATCAGAAAATCCAGAGACTGTCTGATTTTATTATTGTCAAGTGTCGAAAAAAGCCAGTATTTTCCGGACCGAGACTTAATAGAAACCCTAAAATGAGGCGAAAACGCTGAACGCGTTTTTTACCTTGTAACAGATGTCAATGTTCCGAAAATTTCCCTCATTAATTAATCATAAATAAACATAATGTTCCCTCCTTAAAGCTACGCAAACCGAGCATGCAGCAATGTTTTCTTTGCCTTGTTTGAAAAGAAGGCCGTGAAGCCTTTTACCGCCAACGTCAAGCCCTCGTACCTTGTTGAAAAGACATTAAAGACAATCAAAAGTCAACAATCAAGAAAGATTTCGTGAATAAAGAAAATCAATAAAACTGCTTTTATCAAAACAGCATGTTGCACAAATGCTGTAAAATATCTGTAGGGAAGCTTGTTCCTATACACTGTGCAAAGCAAGGGAGAAAAGTTCCTCATCTGAATGTAAAAAATTGATATTTTATCATTTTAGTTAAACCTTCAAGCTTTCCAGTTTCTTCATGTTAGAATTTGCTGTCTCGAGAACAGAAAACGTCACGCCATTTGTGGCAAAAGCCTCGACGCGCGCCCGTTTTTTATGGCCTTTACCAAATAAATTCTTCTTATGTTGGATGAAAACTTACGCCTTGCTATGTTTAAATGGCCTTCCTGGCAGCTTTTTTGATAATAAATTAAGCATTTGTGGTACAACAAATCGCACAAATGCAGAAAACTGAAATCTATAGTATAATATTCCATAATATTGTAAATCTACCAAGAACTTTTGGGTTTCTTATGATGAATACTGAAAGAATAAAAATATCAAAATCTAAGGAATTTTCTATAATTTTTTCTTAAAGTATCGACTGCCTTTTCGTAAGATAGGGGTAATTGATATCCTGGCTGACTTTATGGTTATGGTTTATATCTGCAGCTGGCCAGAATCAGGAACTGCACAACTATTCCTTTGGCATGCATGTTGCATTGTTACAAAATGCAAATAGTTGTCACTGAGGTAAAAAAACACAAACACTTAGGCAATTAAACTGTTATCCTAAAGATCGAGTTACACTTGGCACGTGACGCTGCCAAACTTATGTAAAATGTAAACGGATGTAAAAATTGGACTACTTCGTTGCCATTGAAAGGCATACAAGAAACGGTGTTTCCAAATGAAGACTGCTTACCACTTAAATGAACATTTCTAGAAATGCACAAAAATAAAAAGCAATGTTATATAGGGGATGCGTTGCTTGGCAAAATGCTTTCCTTTCATATGGCAACGCTTCTTCTAGGATCAAATGAAGCTAGAGATTCTCTGCCCACACAGCAATGCCATTGTTTTACCAGAAATTGCATCAAACATGTATGACTTAATATTTACGATACACCAAACTCTGTATTAACTTTAATTCCGGTTTGAAAGTATCTTGAAACTATCCCGCTAATTTCGTGCAAACATTTTCTGCAGGAAAGAAAGAAAGTAAACTCTCATCTGCAGAAAGGAAGAAAAAATAAATTCTCTAAATAAACTTAGCTTCTAAATAAATTATTGGTAACCACTATTTCATATACTGCTTATACCATAACGATTTAAATATGCATTGGATTGTGTTGTCACTGAATGTATTGCAAGAGTTCAAACGAAGATTATCGAACGAACACTTCAACTGTATCATCTTTTTAAGCAATATAGTAACTATCATTTTTTACGATAAAAAAGCTCTTTGCTGTTATTGTGGAGAAATAAAATTAAAAAATCTATTAGAAAGTCGTCTGTGAATTAACCTATCTTTATTTGCAAATTTATGAAATATTTATCTTAAAATAGCAATAACTGGTTCAATTTATGACGAGAATGCTTTTCAGAGTGTGTTTTTGGTTCCCCTGCCTTCCGCCATGCAATTAAAGACATAATTTTGTGGTTGCCTTTCATATTCATCATTGCATGTATAAAATTTTATTCAATATCATATACAAGATTTTCGAATAGGTAAATTTTTAAATCATTACGAAAAGCTCAAGGATAAGAGTCTCATTATGGTTCAAGAATAAAAAATCTTTTTTGCCAGTTTTCATCAGATTGTTTTTCTATTTTTAAAACATTGAAAATATTTATTCGTATATATTTAAATAACCCGATTACTCTAAAACATTTTCTCTAAATCTCCCACTTTTTATATTTAGCGAGAGATTTACCAGCTTTCGGTTGCTGAATACGGCCAAACTACAAACAAAATAATGAAAATTTGCAACCAGCAAAAGATCTCTTTATCTATTTAAACCCTCTCTTTAAATCATTAACAGTATTTAGTCTGTGAAAACAAATCTGCCGCATAATTTTTTCATCATGCGAGGAGGTCAAATTCACTACGTCACATTAAACAAAATAGAGCTTAAGTTTGTTATGATATCTTGAATTCCTTTTTTCACACTTTCATATCGTTCAAACAGATAACTGAAACTGTATCTTCCCTTTGGATACCGTTATGTTTTTTAATTATAATGGCTAGTTCAGAAAAAGAACATTGCATATTGCTCCGTATTTTTCAATTATAACAGAGCAAAATATTACAATGTGTCATTAGACAGATATAAAAAATTTTCTCTAAGACTTAAATATGGGTTTGGATGCTAAGAAGTTTTCTTGATCGTAATGCCATCTAATTAAAATCTCTTTCGAAATCCTAGTTTAATCAAATGCATCTTCACTCATTTGATCGCTACTTGATTTCTAAGTTCTTCTTTTCACTGCAAAAATTTGATTTCTACACTTCATGGAATTGTTTAGAAAACTATTGCATTTTGTTAACAAAGCGCCTATCTGATTCTTACCAACAAAATAACAGGAAGCAGCTCCCGGCTGAAGTTTGTGTCCATGCATCCTTGGATCGTCGAACCAGCACATTTGACAGGCTTTTGTTGTTATGTGAACCCCCTTTTATTTATGATTACTCCTTTTTTGCTTTTGAGTGAATTTCATTTCACTTCACTTCTTATTGTCATCTGAACGCTCTCTATCATACTCGAAATACCCACATGTTCTTTTACTGTAATGCTTTTTGACTTTCCCATACATACTCGCAATTAAATGATTTCGAATCATTTGTCGTAATCTTTTGATCGAGATTTGTAAATAGTTTAAGCTATTTCAACTTCTGTCCTGGTAGGGTATTGCGCAATCAAGTTGCTCTTTTCAAGCGTCTGTAGCAATCACTTTCGCCTTTTGTTAAAAGACAATGCAATTCAAAATCTATGTCATGCTCACAAGACTACGTCTCTATCAATCTTCTCATATCCGCGCAATGATATATGGCAAATTCGTGCGCTGATTGGTCAGTTTGCTTAATATATACAGAACAGGTTGCGCATTTCCCATACGTACAGAGAGCAGAGATCAACACATTAGGAGACAAGGACCCACAAATGAGCCCAGAGTGAATTTCCCACATACGATTCAGAGAGGCAATAAATTGAAATATGAATAGCGATAGCTTTTATGCTACTTTCCCGATTTTCCAACACGGTGGCTTCCAGCCTTTTCCGAGCAGGCAGTTTGGCGGCGATTCCTCATTACTGAAAGGTCGAAGAAAGCAACCGGACGATCAGTACGTGCATCAGAGACAAATGGCAAATTTACGAGAGAGAAAGCGTATGCAATGTATTAACGAAGCATTCGAAGGACTTCGAAGTCATATTCCAACACTTCCTTACGAGAGAAGGCTATCGAAAGTCGATACACTGAGACTTGCAATTAGTTATATTAATTTTCTAGCAGACCTTATAAATTCAGACGAAGGAGTTCCTGGACAATTTCCTAAATCGTTTGAAGGATCAAAGAAAGTGATAATATGTCATCGAGGTAAAGGTGAGCAACTTTTCGTTTTTATAATACAATGCTCGATTTTTTTCAAGATGGCTGGCGTCCTTGATGCTCACTTCCGATCAGATAGCAAGGCCACAATGGATCTTTTTGCCATCCTCACTAATCTAAGCAGCTAACCTTCGAAATGATTCTCAAGGCTGTTACTTAAAGTTAGGAAATCAGGACATTTCACATTTTTATCAATTTTCAGCATTTGCTTTTATTTCAACATGAGCGCAGCAAGCCTCTTACCTTAAGTTAGCAAAAGATTTCATCTTTTAAAGAGGATTTTCTTCATACATTCTTTCCTTTACTTGCTATATTGAGACATTTCACTGCTTTGCTCCTCAATGGAGCGAGATCTGCTTTGATATTCCTAATGGCAGAAACCGTTACCAAGCATATTGTTGCAACGGCTCAACTGCTATTGTGCAAATAGTCACCAACATACTGTACTTTGAAAACAGTGAATGACAGCTAGACAAACCAATTAGTAAATTACTTTTGAATTGCTCTATTTTGCCTTGCAAATCTTTGTTTTGATTGATTTTGAAAGATTCAGCAATCTTGTTATAGGGTGATCTTCCTTGATCTTAAGATAATCTAATTTCTTAATTTAGCGGATAATAGAGAGATCCAACAACCAGAGATGAAGCTTAGCTTTAAATACAGTTTACACATGTAATAGAATCTCTAGATATGGTTTAGCTGCTTTATTTTACCATTTTGATATTTTTTCCACCTTTCTTCAAGATTGTATTTTCCGTTATGCATTTGGTTCATCTGTTTATTTCCTCGCCGCTTTTAACTGCTTTCTAGCTAAAAAGTCTTTATTTTGTGCTCCAAATTTTTGTTACTCTTCGATTGACTATGTTCCAACTGAAATGTTTCTTTTTTTTCAGATGGAAGAGAATTCGGTCTTCCACCATTGGCAGGTCATTCATTATCCTGGTCAGACCAGAAACTGAAGAAATCAGGTACTCGTGTAAGAACATTAAAAACATGGACACCAGAAGATCCAAGAGCATCAAATATAGCCGCAGAAAATGGCGATTCGGATGGATCATGTGATCTGAGAGTATGCCTGCCTTGACTGAAATTTATCAATGGTGGTCGTAAATTTGAAAGAATTACTTCATCCGTTTATTGTAGCAACTTCTACACAAATTCAGAATTCAGATAGGTTGAAAAAGCACCAAAGAGACTGGTATTTTAATGCAAAAGAACGAACAATTTGCTGCATGGCAGATCTTGTTTCAGAGGCAGCTGACTGTTGGCAAGTCATATTAAAGTATCTTATTTATTTGATAATAAAAGTCACGTTCACTAAAAAGGTTCTGCACACTTATTTAAATTATTCTTTTAATCATTCAGTGGTTAATTTAGCTATATTTATATTGCTAGAAAATAGATGCTTCAGCAATTAGAATGTTTTTCTTCATTCAATTAGTTACTTAGGTGCTTCATGTCTAAATTTCTTTGAAAGTAGCTCAACTGCTGATCTAAAAAAGACAATGTTCTAGCTACAAAGAAATAACTTGTTCTAGGTCAGAAATATTCTCAGATCAAATAGGATGTTTAAATATGCTTGATTTAAAGCTAGAACATATATAAGATATTTATCTGTCTTAATCTGTGAACTATTTCACCAACTCTTGATCTCTGATCTCAAATAACAGAAGACATTTCTATACATTTCTTATGATATAGGATATCAATCACTTAACTGAATATAATTCAGTAGCATGTTTTTGATTCAATACATCAAATTGATAAAAGAAATGTATTTGTGTCGTGTTCTGTGGAAAAAGAATATTTGTTTGCATTTCAAAGGTGATATCAGCATAATGAATAAATAGCATACAAGTAAATTTGGTAATGCTCTTTAGCATTTTGTGATAGCATCAACATTATTGTACTTTTTGTCATGATCAGATGTCGGCTAATATTGCAAATCTTTGCTTAGTTTGTCTATTATCCATGAGGAAGTGATATGATAAAAGCTATCATATGGTCCAGAGTGTTACTAGAATTTGAAATATTTAAGGAATTGTGAACGCGTAGTCATGAATCGTTATATAGAGCATTGTTTTAACCTGTAAATATATTGTATTGTGGCAAAATTTGTTTATAAAAAGTAGAAATTTAATGTACAAAATAGAAGTTGGATATAAATCATCCAACACTGTCAATATGAATTCAAATAATCAGTAACGAAAATAGAAATATTGTTTTTCTTCTTAATTAATCTTTTGTCAATTAAGTTAATAATGCAACCAACATGCTAATTTGTTGCCTTTTGTTTAAATTCTTCTGACATTGTTTTGAAAAATACAGCTTTCAAAATTCTAGGTTAAATCTTGGAAGTTAAAAGATTCACATTTTAGCTTGCGTTTAGCGAGACATTGTTACATATGAAATGGGTGTGGCAGAGCACAATGTTACAATACGCCTATTCTGGCATTTATGCGAGAGCGAATCTTTTTTCATCTAGACCCGCATATCTCATCAATACGTCAATTAAAGTGATAACTATCTCTCTTAAAATTATTTGAATTAAGATAAAGTGGAAGCAATAGTCAGTTTCAGTCCTCCACGAGGCTTGTGACCCTTTAGAGAACAAAGGGGTGCAGTAAAATGATCTCCCAGCTGATTATGTTCGCTCTATGTATGAGCATTAAACATGTTCTCTGGGATATGTAACACGGCTCAATTGTCGGAATGGCCTTTATTAGCCATTGTGTGCTGATTTCAAGAATAGGCAAGCCCCATGCTTGATGTCTAGATAACATGGCTGATTCATGAATGTTATAGGCCAGCACATGGAACGTGTACTCACGTATGAATAAAACGAGTGCATGGCCATAATCTTTCATGTTTTGCTCATTGTCTAAGTTACAACAAAAGCCAGATGTGTCAATGTGCTCAGAACAAATACTGAACGATGAGCAAAGGGTTTGGTCCTGTGAGCAGCCACTAGTGCTGCCTCGACGATCTTTTGAGCAAAGCAACAGGACAAGCCATGTTGGGTAAGACAAACCTAGCTTATCACATGTATTTACTTTTAATGCTTGCGTGGACAGTATATTTTTAGCCTAAATACAGTCTACAGCTTATTAAAGAGACTATTAATAGCCTCTAAACCGGGATATCCATAGGAGAGCATATGGGGACCCTTGCATACACCTGGGTACGTGACACAGAGGGCACTACCTTTTCCAGCTATTTATCACTGTGTATTCAGCACATTTCAAAACAAAGAACATTGAATGAGTACGCCTCGATCTCAAAAGAGCACAAGCCAGAAAGACGCCTTAACTACATTTTTCTTCCAGATCATTTATCTAGTTTCCAGTCCTTTAAAGTAATTTAAAAATAGCTGTTAAATGAACGCCCCAGCTTCCTTCAAGAGCAACGTGTTCAAGCTGAATGGTTGACTGCCTTCCGTTTATTGCCTTCCGTGCCTATCTTAATATCGCGGTACAGTTGAATCATCTAGGCTTAAAATCTGTGCAGCTCGCTCTGCGATTTCCCGCCATTTGCCCTGTTTCTTTGACGCATGCGTCAAAATATCATTCACAATACAGGTGTAACAATTACATTATTGATACGTGTTGACTGAATGGCCTTGTAACGCAATCGTGAGCAGCCCTTGTTGAGGCTTCGTTTCACAAACAGAACACAAAGCCAGCTGCAACCATGAAAACATATTATTCCTTTCCCAGAATTTGAAAGCAATAAGTGAAGCATTCAATAACTAATTAGGACAAGTATGATTGTGAGAGTTTTAACACCACGTCTTTTAAGTGTTACTTTTTAAAAGAAAGGATGTAAACTGCTTTTAAATAGCCCTTGTTTAAAGAACAGAAGCGCTGTGAATCTGTATTTTCCCATGTCTCTGAAGATAAGTATCTAAATTTACTATTGTCAAGCGTTCAAGAGATATTACTAGAACATCTGTGGTTTTTACAAGATTTTCGGCTAGTTAAGAAACGTTAAAAATATTTTGTTTCATGATCTTGCTTTGTTTCGAGACTAAACAGCACTAGAAGATCAGCCAATATTTTACAGCTGTAAGCTCTTACATTTTTCCCAATCCTATGATTATTTTACTTGCAATTGAATTGACAGATTTTTACCGCATTTGGTTGACCAACAGTTGAAGTGAAATTTTAGATTTATAAAGAGAGATATTTCTTTCCAGCCTTGATTGCACTTTTGAAATAGAGATTCTTTGGAAAGGAACTTCGAGGTCTATTGAGACAATTGGGGCCGAATTCTTTGCTTCTCTTGTCATCTTTACATATCGTAACAGGTGCAGTTTTCGTTTCATTACAAATAGTTTCGAAAGTAAAAATATAACAATTTATCTCTGCGACATATCTTCAAAAAAAACGTGAATAACTTTCATTAAATCGTTCATTTTTATGTTGGCCCCAGCTACTGACATCACTAAAACAAAAATATCTGCTTCAAAGCGATGAATTTTCAGTATTTATAAACACTGTCAGTGTTAGTAATAAATAAAATAGCTAGATGATACTGCCTTCAGCGTATTCAATATTTTGCGGTGGCGAATCAAAAATGAAATATCTTCCTTCGAAGAGGTCGCATAGTATTTCCCTTCTACTCCTCATGGGAGAAGTCGACTATTTACCATTGGTCCATTGAAGACGTTTGTAAGACATCAAGTAAGCACATAGAATCTGCAAGACTGACGTTAATGCCAATGGCGCTAAATTTTATGCCTCCTTGAGACAGGACTGGTAGGGTAGCAATTTCTAAAAGTTTCTTGCTCATAACATAGATTAACCGAAAGTTTTTGAAGATCCCTTAAGTTACTTCAAGATTTAAATTGAGTGTTGCATCACGGCGTTATCTATGCCCTAGCACCGAATTTGTCTTGTTGATAAAATTCTAACACAGTTAAAAGCAATTTTATCTCTGATAATTACAAAAAACGTTTGTTGGTAAGCATCAATCAGGTATTCAAGTCTGCACAGACTGCAGTATTCAAGATTTCTCTTCCGTTTGTAAGACACAATCTAATAGTGAGAGAGACAAAAATTTGTTTTCCACCTTTAATTAAAAAAATCTACAAAGCAGGTGAATTTCGATATGGTGCAGGCTTGAAACTTTACATCCACCTCTGCCTGACTGTCATTCGTAATTTCATGATATAAACTAACTGAAAAATCAAGATTATTGCTTTTTAACATCAAAGTTCTCAATTATTCAAGATACATGTGCAAGACTACAATATTTCAACGTTTTTTATTCGCATTGGAATACAATTGATGATGACAAACGATTTGATATAGCATAAGGTCCAGCTCTCCCGATTTAGGCGGGAGTCTCCCGATTTGGGAATTCATCTCCTGTTCTCCTTATTTCAAATCTAACCTCCCATTTTAGGAAAGTATTAATAATATGTTATGAAATTCAATTTTGACCGTATCCATATCCTTCTGATGTTTAGGCTATAGCTGGTGAAATGTATCTTGCTTGGACGAACGAGCAAAATACCAGCAGACATTTTTCGTGAGGAAAGATTAATTTTGTTTAGCAAATTAGATGTTTTTTTACATTTTAGCCACTCAGCCAATCAGAGGCAACTGTTCATAATGCTGAAGCTCCCGTATGCCGGGGCGAAATATTAGCCTTAACTAATTTACGTGTATTTATTGTTGTTCATTCTCGTCGCATTGCGGCGTTTCTTATTTGCTACACTAACTATTCATAAGTTTACTTGCTTCATTGGGATACGACCTGCGCTAGCTGTGGGGATTCTGATAGAAAAAACACAAACCCCATTTGGCTGATGACAAATATATAATAACTTTTGTGAATTTCTGCCAATAGACCGAATTTGAATACTTCAAGGGAATTTATCAAAAATCTACCGATTTTCAATGTTCTTCGTTTGATATAGGTGTATTGTTTTAAACCTGTTAAATATGTGTAAGTTCACCCTGTAAGTTAATTTCCTGATGAAAATTACTATTTACGAGTCGATCACAAAGAGTTCGATGCCGCATAGTAAGAGCCCCGCTGCACGCCCTTGGTTTAAAGAACAGGACGGTTCTAAGTTGCTGTATAGATCAGGACGGTTCTAAGTTGCTGTAAAGACCAGGACGGTTCTAAGTTGCTGTATAGATTAGGACGGTTCTAAGTTGCTGTATAGATCAGGACGGTTCTAAGTTGCTGTATAGATCAGGACGGTTCTAAGTTGCTGTATAGATCATAACGGTTCTAAGTTGCTGTATAGATCAGGACGATTCTAAGTTGCTGTATAGATCAGGACGGTTCTAAGTTGCTGTATAGATTAGGACGGTTCTAAGATGCTGTATAGATTAGGACGGTTCTAAGATGCTGTATAGATCAGGATGGTTAAGTTGCTATTCCGAGTTTCACGATTAATTCGATCATCAGATAGTTCTATCATCACGCTTAATATATAGAATTTTTTTAATCAAATTATTAAGAGCATCCTTCTAGACTGACTACACGTATAATCGCAGCCTTATGGGCATGAAATGAGTGTTTGCTTGAACCTATCAATAACAGAGAAAAAGTGACTTGCCATGGCCTTTGGCCCTTGTATTGATGCGTGTTGCTTCACTGGTGGTTGAACGATATTAATCTAATAAGCGCATCTCTAGGTCAAACCTTTAAGGTTGTTATTCAAGAATTTCCAGTAGCCAAAGGTTTGTCGTAAATAATAGAACATTTATCATGGAATATATACAATAAGACTTCGTTCTAGGGATGAGTTGCCCCACACGAAACACCCTTTTCATTTCCAAAAGACTTCCTTTTCTTTCTATACAGAATAATAGTCAAAATTGTATGGTTTTGTTGGCAACGTATTCAATTAACGAAATATTTAGTGAGAAATTGGAGTAAGCCTATGAAGGGCTCTCAGATTACTTTGCATTTTGCAAACCCCACATTTAAAATTTTCACAAGAAAAACGTTTCTAAAAAATATTGAAGCAGTCAAGTTATAGTTTTATCACAAATATATGAACGCATTTTCAGAACTTTTAAACTTTAATCACATTACAATAGCTTAAATTCAACAAAGGTTTCGTGTCTTTTGACAATGTCAACATCACGCTACCCACAGGGTTTGGACGCTCGTCCTTTTGGATTACAATTATTAAGAGCAGCCTAAAATGTTTGGACGTTCATTGAACAGCTTTTTCACCAATTGCATGGCTTTTTTCACTAGTAGCAAGCAGGTAGAGAAGAGACGATTATGGTGGCAAGCTGAATCTTTTGTCAAACATTTGCCTGGTTCTTTCTGACCTCGTTTGTAGATGGTCTTCTTGTTTCTCAATTCGAATTATGAAGAGACCTCTATATGTGACGGTTAAAACTTGAGTAATATTGCCCAAAAACCCATATCATATTGCGAAAAATAATGAGTAATATCGCTTATAATGCGATAAAACATCCACATAGACCAAGACCAAATGCCTTTGTCACAGACTCTCTAATTTTCGACGCAAATTTTTGATAAAACCTTACAAGTTTCCTGAATATCTAGTCTAAGCCCGAAAAATTTTACCTTAGACTCAACACTCAGACCTAAGTCAAAAAACATCTTGGCACTGAATTTGGCACCTATGACACAAAATTAATTTGGCATAAGTCTTATTTAAAAGGAACCACTTATATAGTAAAAAATATGTTAACATGGACTCCAGATTGGCTTTCTATTAAAATTCTAAGCAGTTTCTGTTTTAAAGAATTACTGATCCATTCAGTGCTAGAAAACTGTAGATTTTTTCAAAATTAAGAGTTTAATATTAGTCAAAGATTTACTGGAAAATTTACACAATATGAAACTTTAGTACAGTAAGACAAAATTAAAGTGGGATTTGAAAAATTTGGAAAAACTACTGAGGCACCTTGGCATTACAGAGATCATATAAGAACATTTAACTTTAATTTAAGTCATATTGTTAATATTTCTTAGTCTTAGGACTCTTTATCAAATCAAAATTAAAACTCAAATTAGAAGAGAATGTATCAATATTGACTATTGTTCTAAAAGCTGCTGAATTTTATCATGTTTACATCTTAAAATCTTCTCCTGTGATTCAACTTTGTTGACCACTCTCGTTGTAATGTGATATCACTTGACTCCAGTATGACTTTTAGTTCTAGGAAAATATATAATTAATGCATATATATTTTAGGTTGAGAAGTTTTATTCGCAGACAAGTCAAGGTCAAGCTGCACTAAATCAGGCACCGCGGAGCAGGGGGCTGGGGGGGGCTTAAGCCCACTTTTTGCAAAAAATTCCAAATATTAAGGAATAAACTAGTAGCAAAGCCTCTTTTTATACGGTTTTAGCCCTCCTCCATTTTTTAGACCCCCTACTTTTCCCAACGCTCCGCGGTGCCTGCAACCAATCTCTTGAGGGATTGGCAAGCATCTTCGCTTCCACATACAGATTAAGGTAAAGTACGCAGGCATTCTTTAAACAAGATTGTGTCATATGCTTGTATGCACATTTAAGCTAAAATCTTCTTTTCTTTGTATGCCGAACGAATCAATTATATAAACGCTGCATATAAAATTTAGTCCTTGGCTGTTTGCATAGTTGACAATGCTGGTAATATATCTAGTTTTAAATTTAGAAACTTCAGTGGCAAGATATTTGTAGAATAACCACAACAAAATACTGTAAGCAAGCATTGCATTCAGAGAAGTGTGCCTATGTTATAACAAGAAAGTAGGCGGATCGATATACCTTTACCCACAACAAACTCGTGTTGAAGTGTAAACCACAAAACATGGAAGTCATGTTCTGTTTGATATAAGAATTACGTGAAACTGAGAAGATTCATTTCTATGAAAGATTACAAGGCTTATAACAATCTGAAAGTTTAATTTGAATAAAAATTGGAAATTTTCAGCAGCCAGCGTGAGAGATTGCCTACCACACTAGGTCAAAAGATTCACAAAGTCTTAACGTACAGAAGTTTTACTGTCATCAAGCCAATTATTAACTGTGATAAACATAAAACAATTAAAAATGGTGCAGATAACTAAAAAGAGTGCGTCCATTTAATCTATTCATCTTTTCATAAGCCCTTTTTGGAACGTCAACTTTTTGCTATGCACTAAATAAGTTAGATGTGGTCTGATTTGGTGAAAATTCGAATGGCAGGGCTTTTACGTAAATGTTGAATTGGAATGTTCTGAAATAACCTGTTTTTCAAGTTGTTACGTACATTGTCTTAAAGATTTTTCATTTACAATGTTGTTCCACACTGTAAGCGATGTGTCGTCTAAATGTAGCAGAATGATAAATATAACACAGGTGCACATTTATTTTAGTGGTTGAGATTTGAAGAAAGGTTAAAGAAAGCTGGATTGAAAGAAAAATAGGACTCGACTTCAAGGCAAGTAAGATAAGGTACATTTGCCCAATGGCACTCCTGCCCTTTGCTAGCAATTTTTTTCATTTTATTCCAGTGTAAAACTACTAACACGTTGTAGACTGCGTTGCTGTTGCTCGTTAACTTTTATTTGGGCAAAGTTTTTAATCCATGGTCATTGATATGCCAAACTTTATACCTGTGTTGAACTGATGCTCAAA